AGATTGTTGGGGGCAATATGCTGACTCTCTGTAAACCGCTTAGAGAGGCCTGAAAGGCCTATGAAGCGGTATATAAGTCTACTGCTATTGCTATATTGCTATTGCTTGTCCACCTAGCTAGAAAGCATGCAAATGTGAATAGAAATGCCACTTCGGAGGGAAGGTAACAGCATTTGGACAATGCTGGCTCCCTTGCCTAAGAAACTGAGATGAGCTTTTGTGGTAATTAATTCTTTACTTTGTAAAGTGTCACAAGATTCCTCAGGTTTTTGATCAGGCACATTTACTCCTAGACATGCTTCAGAAATAGTCTATATATTTTCTGCTAATTTTGCTTGCATTAGACATGTTGAGTGGCTTTTCTAATTGGCTATATTGGGCTATTGTTTCTAGTATCTCTGCAAACATGGACTAAGAAAAAGATTTTACAGATTCTTTACTTTGTTGCCACAGTGTTGGTGTCCCGCAAGCACTTTGGTTGTCAGTGAGGAATAGGTTTAAGATGAATAGGTATTGCTATTTGATCCTGATAGTTCTTTTATCTATTAATTTTGTAAAATGATACTTCTAAAAAGATGAATTTATAGATATGTTGCAGCACTTTTTGCCTGTATTTTACAGGTTAAAAAGTGCAATTTTGTTGTGTTTCATATATATTTTCTAAGGCAGAGGTTGTTCCTATATTAACATTCTGGCCTGTTGAATTTTGTCTACTTGAATATCAAAAATGCTTGTGTACAAATATTTGTCAGGGTTCTGAATAGATAGATATAGATAGATATAGATCATTACTTGAGTGTAGATGTATTAATAACTCATGATGTGAAGGTAATTGTTAATTGTCCTTTTACCTACGTATTAGGAAGTATTGTATAGAACAGATGAAACCAAAGTTGACTGACATTGCGCAATAGATAATTTAGGAATATTACTAATTCCTTATTATTGGTTCAAAATAGTAGTTTGTTACCAGAAGCGTCTGTAGTATACTGATGGATTTCAATTATAGTTTTCTAGACAACAGAGTTCACATAAAATAATGCACATGGATCTAAATATGTATAATATTGCTGTGCACTTACAAATACAATTTGTTTTCAATTTAAAGTAGAAGAAACGTGGAAATTCTGAAATACATTTCTTCTAGGGATAATATTAATTAATATCCTATTGTCTGTAATATTTGGGATGTTATATATAGTTCTACATCCATAGTTACTAAACTAGATTTCCATGGAAGTTATTTTAAGTTATGTTTGTTGTCAAAAAAATTGTTGCGTCTTTTAAAAAGTTTATTTTGGCAATAGTTAAAAGTATACATTTTTAACAAAATGAATGTCTTAATAAATCTGCTCAAAAATGAATGGCTAAAAAATTCAAAGAAACTATTTTAATTTTAAAATAGTTTTAGGTACTTTCTATTTTTTTTTATCCATTCCCGCATTTAACAACTTTTCCTTACTTTCTGTCTGTGTGTGGTGGCTCTTGATGCACTGACTCCAGCCTCAGTCCACTCCTTGTGAAAGTCCCCAACACTTTTGAATGGCCTTTTCCTGGCAATCCTCTCCAGGCTGTGGTCATCCCTGCTGCTTATGAACCATTTTCTTCCACACTTTCCCCTTCCACATAACTTTCTATTAATGTGCTTTGATACAGCACTTTGGGAACATCC